CATTAGTTAAACAAGTTTTCTGTTAAATTATTGTTAGTGGCGTTTTTTTACTTTGATGCCATCGACAATTATAATATCACCAAAAAATCAAATGTTCCAGATCAAAAATAATTCATTTTCTCAAAATCAATTTCCAAATTAATATATTTATTGTTTTGGTCTTAAGTGCTTCAAAATGCAACTTGTTTGGATATGATCTCTATTTTACGTAATAAATACTGCTTTACTACTAAGACCTGCTTTAGCTAAGACAATTATATAACATTCTGTGAGGCATACTACCGATTAATCAAACTCATTAAAATACACGTTTTTTTTACATTTTATATGTAGTCAAACAAAGTTCTTTTGATAGAAAACGTTTATTTTTATCGATAAAACCACTTTATTTGTTTATTTGTAGATGCGCGCAATCATCCTTTTTCTGACAGGGCTGCTGGCTCTCACCACAGCTTTCAATGATAGTAAGATTCATAGATTTCTTTTTTAATTTTATTAGTATCTTTGTTACCATTGACATTTTCTAATGAACATGACAATTTCTAACACTTTTCCCCAGAAAGGAGAGTCTGTTACCATTTAGGCTGGACTGCTACCCGTAATGGTACTAGTCGCTTTGACATCAATTCGCTACCTGAGAAATCCTGCACCCACTTGATCTACGCGTCCGCGGGCCTCAATCCGTACAACGGTGAAATCATCGCTGCAAACGAAAATTCTGTAGCGGTTACTGATGAAGAAACCCCTATTGGTTACCAAAAACTTAAAAACCTGGTTTTGCGTGATTCGCGTCTCAAGACGATGATATCACTGGGTGGTGATGCAGTGGATGGCTCGACGATTTCTATGGTCCTGAGGGAACCCACGTTGCGCTTCAATTTAGTTAAGAGCATCGTTAAATTCCTTGTAAAGTATGAATTCAACGGATTCGACCTCAACTGGAAATATCCCAAAAGTCTCGAAGACAAGCGCAACCTTGTACTCTTTTTAAAAGAACTAAAAAAACAGTTCGAACCTAAGGGTTGGGTCCTTAGTATAACTGCACATATGAGTGCCAATCAATATTACGACTACGATGGGGTTTCTAAGCACGTTGATTTTATCAACATGATGCTGTTCAACTTTAACGGCCCTTGGATGGGCACAACGGGACCCAGTGCTCCACTGGACTCTACAAATAATATTAATGTTGTAAGTAGCCATGATTAAATGATAATGAAAGATAAGATTTTGGATGAGGTGAGCAACTCACATTAGGACATTCTTCGGTAATAATTTATTCTTAGAGATATCGTGTTTTGTTCGCCATTAAGTCTCTTTGGCTTCAAACTCTTTAAAAGTGGTTTTTTAGCTCACGAAAATTGGAATTACAAGGAAAAAACGTTGAAAAAGTTCTAAATCTATTAGCAAACCTAGGTCTTTTACCGTAGATAATATTCTTTGAATTTTTATATTATAGCATGTCTTTGTCCAAAATTGGATGGACAATCATGTTCCAAATGAGAAAATCGTCATGGGAATATCTTCGATCGGAGTTGTAAGTACTCTGCTCAATCCATCCGACAACAAAATGAATGCGATGGTAGCTGAATCTGGCAGACCTGGACCTTATAACAATCTACGCGGTTTGTTGGGCTACTTCGAGTTCTGCAAGGAGATGAGCCAATGGACTGTCATTTACGACGAAATGCACCGCATGCCTTATGCTTACAAAGGCGATCAGTGGATGAGTTTCGAGAACAAACAGTGAGCACATCGTTTTTGTTAACTTGTATTTCTTGACTTTTATCTAAGACATACAATTTATATAGAAGCGAACAACATTTTTAATCAATTCCAACTCAGGTCCATTTCAGAAAAGGTGAATTACGTGATGGAGAAGGACCTTGGAGGTATCGCAATCTGGACCGTAGATAACGATGACTTCAACGGCGTCTGCGGTGAAAAGTGGCCGCTGCTCAATACCATCAACAAAGCTCTTTCAACTCAAAGTGGCTCATTTGCTTACAGAAAAAATGGCGTATCTGATTATAGTAGAGGGAACTTTTTACCGAGAAATCCAAAGCAGAGGTCCCGAAGGAGTGTTCGAAACTTTCGTGCAGCGGGTTCTCCCCAGCAAAAATCCGCTGCTTCGTTAAAACAATCAAATAGTTGTGATATTGTGGGTGAATTAACAGGAGACCCCCACGATTGTAACGTCTTTTATCAATGTACAGCTGATCTGCAGCGACAAAAATTAACATGTCCTACAGTTTTAGTTTTCAACCCACAAAGTAAAGTATGCGACTATAAGCAGAATGTACAATGCTAATCTACTTCTTTAACAATCAAGTACCGTTAAAGAACAAAAATATTGAATAAATTTTTTTCCTTTGACAAATTATGAACTAACAATCATTTAATCTTCACCTCTTCCTTAATACTGTGTGTTGATATTTGTTTTTATAATAATCATTATCATTACTATTTTTATTTATAAATAAATGTTAGTTCTCAAAAGACAAAGACTTATCACGCCATTGAAAAGTAAGGCAACATCCCCATAAAAAACGTATCGAGAGAGTGATTGTTCTAATATGTTCGTAAACAGTGTTCGTAAACATATTATATTTTAGATTGATGACAGTAAATTTTGTCACAAAAACCTAGGAGTATCATTTTGACAACTTGTCTATAGACTTTCCCTCTTTTCCTCCTAAGCACTTCCTATTGTTGTACAATACACATCCTGTTGTGTGTGTCAAGCATGAAAACTGACGTTTTACTTTATGAGCTATTATCTCCATCTTCGTAGACATCTCACAAATAAAAATACAAAATTACGAAACTAACTCGTGTGGCATTGTACAGTAAGTTTACCCACGGTATTGAATATTGTGGTGGAGCCCGTGGGTAGCCGTGACAACTGCATGGGAAAAAAGAACGAAACAGGTGGAAAAGGAGGGTTGTTCTAGTTGGAGGTTGCTCTAGTGATGGGCTGAGGTGAAGTCAAGAGAAAGAGCACCTATTGGAGAACCTCCTTTCCCTTACAGATACGCCGATAGAGGTACCACTGCGTGTGAACGAGAGTGCTTGTGCATGGGCGACTTAAAGTCTTAAGCCTGTAAACCAAATTCTTAGTGGGCGATTCAAGTTCAAACTAACGTATACTCAATACTAATGTAATTTGTTTTAAATAGTAAACAATAGTATCTTGTTTATATTAATACCATCTTGCGTTATAACATTGAAAATATGTTGATTGATTGTAAGAAATTTTAATTTTTATGCCTATCGCGCATGTTTGAGTCACGTCCATATTTAGCATACCTCATTTTAATTTGTTTCATACAGCAATAATCTGGCTTATAGGCTTTAATCAGAAGAAAACCCGTGCAAGTATAAGTGGATCTCGTTTAAAGTCGAGTACTACAAGCGGACCCTGTCGAGCTCTCGGAAGGTGTAGTGTGTGTGGAATGGGTACCGGGTGTTTTTGCGTTGGAGAAGGACTTAAAATGGGGGAGGGTGCAATCGTGTATATTTACAGGAGAGGCATTTATGNGGATGACTTCAACGGCGTCTGCGGTGAAAAGTGGCCGCTGCTCAATACCATCAACAAAGCTCTTTCAACTCAAAGTGGCTCATTTGCTTACAGAAAAAATAGCGTATCTGATTATAGTCAAGGGAATTTTTTACCGGAAAATCCAGATCAATATAGGTCCCGAAGGAGTGTTCAAAACTCTCGTGCAGCTGATTCTTCCCAGCAAAACTTTAGCCCTTCATTTAACAAACAAATGTTGGTCAACTCGCATCAGGCCCGTGGATATCCAATGTACTAAATCTTAGGTATTAAACCTACAAGATTATTGTGACTGTAAGAACAATGTAAAATGCTAATATACTTATTTGACAATTACTGTTGAAGAAGGAAAAATTAAAATAAATTGTTCTTTAGTAATGTAAGAAATGAAAACTATTTGATTTTACCTGTTCCTCAGTACCGTTGGTAAATGACATACATCAATCTTTTTTAACCTTAATTTACTACTTATCTGGTAAAGTTTTGAGACTTTTACTTTAATGCTCTCACTTATGAAATGTGGTATTAGAACGATTGTGAATAAAAATTGCCTTTAAAAGCTTTCGTTATGATACATACATTCGAAATTGATTAACTGAATCACCTTTTATGTATGTTTCAAAACTGTAAATGGGGAGTCGAATGCAAAAAAGTTTTTAACGCAAAAAGAATCAAGTTGTAAAACAATAGAAGAAGTATGTAAATTTACACTTACCTATGTTCAAGTTTAATAAATAAATTAATTCAAATCCAGGAAGTGTGCATGATGAGAAAAATTGTACGGTAAAAAGAGGAGGATTAGTGACTTTTGTGTAAACTAATAGCTTATGAGCCCCAACAATACGTTTATCGGTAAAGTCGCTTTATCCACTCCAACTACAATCATATGATCTTGGTCCCAATATTCTAGTCTCTCTATACTACAGGTGCTCAGCATAAAGTGATGCTAATGAGTACTACTTGATACCACTCTAATACGAAAAATTGATACATGAAATTAAATAATTACCTGCATATTAAATAAAAACTCAACAATCAGCAGTAAGCATTAGTTAAACAAGTTTTCTGTTAAATTATTGTTAGTGGCGTTTTTTTACTTTGATGCCATCGACAATTATAATATCACCAAAAAATCAAATGTTCCAGATCAAAAATAATTCATTTTCTCAAAATCAATTTCCAAATTAATATATTTATTGTTTTGGTCTTAAGTGCTTCAAAATGCAACTTGTTTGGATATGATCTCTATTTTACGTAATAAATACTGCTTTACTACTAAGACCTGCTTTAGCTAAGACAATTATATAACATTCTGTGAGGCATACTACCGATTAATCAAACTCATTAAAATACACGTTTTTTTTACATTTTATATGTAGTCAAACAAAGTTCTTTTGATAGAAAACGTTTATTTTTATCGATAAAACCACTTTATTTGTTTATTTGTAGATGCGCGCAATCATCCTTTTTCTGACAGGGCTGCTGGCTCTCACCACAGCTTTCAATGATAGTAAGATTCATAGATTTCTTTTTTAATTTTATTAGTATCTTTGTTACCATTGACATTTTCTAATGAACATGACAATTTCTAACACTTTTCCCCAGAAAGGAGAGTCTGTTACCATTTAGGCTGGACTGCTACCCGTAATGGTACTAGTCGCTTTGACATCAATTCGCTACCTGAGAAATCCTGCACCCACTTGATCTACGCGTCCGCGGGCCTCAATCCGTACAACGGTGAAATCATCGCTGCAAACGAAAATTCTGTAGCGGTTACTGATGAAGAAACCCCTATTGGTTACCAAAAACTTAAAAACCTGGTTTTGCGTGATTCGCGTCTCAAGACGATGATATCACTGGGTGGTGATGCAGTGGATGGCTCGACGATTTCTATGGTCCTGAGGGAACCCACGTTGCGCTTCAATTTAGTTAAGAGCATCGTTAAATTCCTTGTAAAGTATGAATTCAACGGATTCGACCTCAACTGGAAATATCCCAAAAGTCTCGAAGACAAGCGCAACCTTGTACTCTTTTTAAAAGAACTAAAAAAACAGTTCGAACCTAAGGGTTGGGTCCTTAGTATAACTGCACATATGAGTGCCAATCAATATTACGACTACGATGGGGTTTCTAAGCACGTTGATTTTATCAACATGATGCTGTTCAACTTTAACGGCCCTTGGATGGGCACAACGGGACCCAGTGCTCCACTGGACTCTACAAATAATATTAATGTTGTAAGTAGCCATGATTAAATGATAATGAAAGATAAGATTTTGGATGAGGTGAGCAACTCACATTAGGACATTCTTCGGTAATAATTTATTCTTAGAGATATCGTGTTTTGTTCGCCATTAAGTCTCTTTGGCTTCAAACTCTTTAAAAGTGGTTTTTTAGCTCACGAAAATTGGAATTACAAGGAAAAAACGTTGAAAAAGTTCTAAATCTATTAGCAAACCTAGGTCTTTTACCGTAGATAATATTCTTTGAATTTTTATATTATAGCATGTCTTTGTCCAAAATTGGATGGACAATCATGTTCCAAATGAGAAAATCGTCATGGGAATATCTTCGATCGGAGTTGTAAGTACTCTGCTCAATCCATCCGACAACAAAATGAATGCGATGGTAGCTGAATCTGGCAGACCTGGACCTTATAACAATCTACGCGGTTTGTTGGGCTACTTCGAGTTCTGCAAGGAGATGAGCCAATGGACTGTCATTTACGACGAAATGCACCGCATGCCTTATGCTTACAAAGGCGATCAGTGGATGAGTTTCGAGAACAAACAGTGAGCACATCGTTTTTGTTAACTTGTATTTCTTGACTTTTATCTAAGACATACAATTTATATAGAAGCGAACAACATTTTTAATCAATTCCAACTCAGGTCCATTTCAGAAAAGGTGAATTACGTGATGGAGAAGGACCTTGGAGGTATCGCAATCTGGACCGTAGATAACGATGACTTCAACGGCGTCTGCGGTGAAAAGTGGCCGCTGCTCAATACCATCAACAAAGCTCTTTCAACTCAAAGTGGCTCATTTGCTTACAGAAAAAATGGCGTATCTGATTATAGTAGAGGGAACTTTTTACCGAGAAATCCAAAGCAGAGGTCCCGAAGGAGTGTTCGAAACTTTCGTGCAGCGGGTTCTCCCCAGCAAAAATCCGCTGCTTCGTTAAAACAATCAAATAGTTGTGATATTGTGGGTGAATTAACAGGAGACCCCCACGATTGTAACGTCTTTTATCAATGTACAGCTGATCTGCAGCGACAAAAATTAACATGTCCTACAGTTTTAGTTTTCAACCCACAAAGTAAAGTATGCGACTATAAGCAGAATGTACAATGCTAATCTACTTCTTTAACAATCAAGTACCGTTAAAGAACAAAAATATTGAATAAATTTTTTTCCTTTGACAAATTATGAACTAACAATCATTTAATCTTCACCTCTTCCTTAATACTGTGTGTTGATATTTGTTTTTATAATAATCATTATCATTACTATTTTTATTTATAAATAAATGTTAGTTCTCAAAAGACAAAGACTTATCACGCCATTGAAAAGTAAGGCAACATCCCCATAAAAAACGTATCGAGAGAGTGATTGTTCTAATATGTTCGTAAACAGTGTTCGTAAACATATTATATTTTAGATTGATGACAGTAAATTTTGTCACAAAAACCTAGGAGTATCATTTTGACAACTTGTCTATAGACTTTCCCTCTTTTCCTCCTAAGCACTTCCTATTGTTGTACAATACACATCCTGTTGTGTGTGTCAAGCATGAAAACTGACGTTTTACTTTATGAGCTATTATCTCCATCTTCGTAGACATCTCACAAATAAAAATACAAAATTACGAAACTAACTCGTGTGGCATTGTACAGTAAGTTTACCCACGGTATTGAATATTGTGGTGGAGCCCGTGGGTAGCCGTGACAACTGCATGGGAAAAAAGAACGAAACAGGTGGAAAAGGAGGGTTGTTCTAGTTGGAGGTTGCTCTAGTGATGGGCTGAGGTGAAGTCAAGAGAAAGAGCACCTATTGGAGAACCTCCTTTCCCTTACAGATACGCCGATAGAGGTACCACTGCGTGTGAACGAGAGTGCTTGTGCATGGGCGACTTAAAGTCTTAAGCCTGTAAACCAAATTCTTAGTGGGCGATTCAAGTTCAAACTAACGTATACTCAATACTAATGTAATTTGTTTTAAATAGTAAACAATAGTATCTTGTTTATATTAATACCATCTTGCGTTATAACATTGAAAATATGTTGATTGATTGTAAGAAATTTTAATTTTTATGCCTATCGCGCATGTTTGAGTCACGTCCATATTTAGCATACCTCATTTTAATTTGTTTCATACAGCAATAATCTGGCTTATAGGCTTTAATCAGAAGAAAACCCGTGCAAGTATAAGTGGATCTCGTTTAAAGTCGAGTACTACAAGCGGACCCTGTCGAGCTCTCGGAAGGTGTAGTGTGTGTGGAATGGGTACCGGGTGTTTTTGCGTTGGAGAAGGACTTAAAATGGGGGAGGGTGCAATCGTGTATATTTACAGGAGAGGCATTTATGGGAAAGAATATCTACTTGTTAAATAATCTGTAACACGCAGTTTGTGGGTGCGATTATTTTTGCCCAGCATATGTTTCACGAAATGTTTGTAAGTACTTCTCGGCGAGTCCTTTGCACTTCATCGTACCTCCTCTGGATACATATAGACATGCTCGGAAGGAAAAACAAACGCGGAGTTCTGGAAGGAAAAGAAAGACCGAAACCTCAAAGAGAAGCGGCAAAATTGAAGAAAGAAAGTGGAGAAGCCACGTAAATCTTGAAGTAACTTTTATTTTCACACACTGTATCCTTGGCGTGGACGGATTACTGTTTGGTGTCGCGAGCCTGGAAGACGGATAATTCATCGTTGGATCTCATAAATTATGGATCTTCTTTTTTATTTGTTCAAGTAATATGTTATAAAAAAAAAAAAAAAAAATCTCCATGCGAGGTCACCCAATAGC